CTAGTTCTCTTTACTGTCAGTAGGGTCAGCTGTATTTATGTTATTGCTGACAGATGTTTGTCTAACCTGTTCCTAAAGACTTCCAGTGACAAATTCCTAACATTTCCTCAAATGCTCTATCCAGTGCTTCACTGTCCTTTACTGTTAAGAAGTTTTTCCTAGTCTACACTGACTTACCTGTACTGTGGTGTAAACCTATTAGTTCTTTTCCTGTTGGAAACAGACATGGAAAATAGTTTATTCCCTTACTTTTTTGCAACACTCTTATGTATTAAAGACTTACGCCTCTGCTCCTACTTTTCTTTCAGATAAGAAACCCCAACTTGCCCACTCTTCCTTTCTAGCTGAGGTCTAACCAATGCCAAGTATTAATAACTTACTTTCCCTGCTTATGCAGTTCAGAATGGTATGAGCCCTTTTTTTTGCAACAGGATGGATTTATTACATTGTGTTCAGTTTGTGATTCAGTAAACTTTTAGGTGTCCTACATCCCCAGGCTGTGTCCTGTAAACACAAGTGTAACAGTAGCTACCTCTTTAAACTGCAGTTTGCATTGTGGAAAGTTCCCACTCAATGTATTAAGATAGAATTAACTTTTATCTGGGCACAGGTCCAATCTCTTACAGCAGCATATAATATGGTTATGGGTTTACTATAACATAGGTATCTACAGGGCTGAGTGGAGAATGCTGAGGTTAATGAAGTGATGTCTCCATTAGCAATAAAGAAATGAAGCTGGGGTTCTGTTTGTGCTGCGTTTTGGAACTGAATGTTCGTAAAGTTCCTTGAGATCTTAAGACAAGTTTCTTGTTCCAATTTCTATGTGCTTCTTTGTTGTGCTGTATATACCTGCCTCTACAAAGCAATGGCAATCAGAAATACTGTAATTGGACTTACTCTCACTGAAGCAATTTCAATGTGGATTCACTTGCATTCACAATGTAGGAGCAGAAACTAACAGTTATTCTGTAGCTCTCATGGACTACTAGACTGTGGCTGTAAAACACTGAGAAAGTTAAACAAAATCTTACCATCTCCATGCTTACCTTGACCTGCTAAATATTTCCTACCATGAAAACTAATCAAAGTTGGGTTTTTGAAGAAAGACATTTTAAAATTGCATGCTCAATGCCCTTCCAAGTTTTAACACTCTGTGCCTATTATCCTCACTGTGGCAAAGTTCCTTTAGTCAAACTCTGTCCACATTATTGATATTTAGTATGATTTTTAACTGGAAAAGTGAGATAAACAGCAAACAAAAATATAAGTTCCATCACATGGTTTTGTAAGGGTAAACTACAGATTAGGAGAGAGAGAAAAGAATTTTGGAATGATGAAATGAGACTGAAGTAACTTTTCTTTTTTTGTTCAGTTTCTTCCTTTTCATATTTCAGCTGTTCCAAAACTGCATGGAAGATCACTTACCTGGACTGTAACAGTACAAAAGGTCTTTAACTGTTTGTGGGTCTTCATCTTAACTTGTGTGGTGAAAAAAATCAGCCTTAAACTGAGTGTTTAATTAGCATTTGACCTAAATCCTTATAGTAACCTATAAGGAAAATTCCCAGCATCTCATGCCAGCATGTTTTAAAATGCTGATGAGGATTGCTAAACAGAAAACTTTTGATATGGGAGAAGAGATTTAACTGTTCTCTACAATCATTTCTAAAGGAACCTTGAAGCCTGAACAACAGGAGAGGAAACAAGTTGAAAAGAAAAAACCGTGAATGTGGAAAACACAAATATCAGTGTCTTTTCCTGATAGTAGTCATTCCTTTTTCAAGGTTGTCGCTGTCCCTAAGTTTTTCTTCCTGATATAGACCATCACAGATCCAGAAGTGACATTTCTGTTCTTTGTAAAAATTGAGTGTATCTCCTTCCTGCTGGTCTGGCAGTTTAGCTCGCGCAGACCCCAGGCTTTCCAGACCTCCCAAGCCTACAAGAACACAAAGCAAATAAAGAATCCTAACCTTTCACTCAGTCTCCTTTGGTTACAGTCTCCCTTGTGGCTTTCTGTGTTCAACCTCCTCAGTGACAGGCAGCCTCCCTCTGAAGCAGGAGTTAAACTCTCTCCAGGATATTTCAGTTTCCTCTCTCATCTTGTTTCTAGGGTATGACAGGGGTGACCCTGCTTACAAACTCTTTCTCTATTGAAACAGGAGTTTGCTTGCTTCTTCTACACCATTTTCCTGAAGAACTGAAAGACTAAGAACAAGACCTTTGGTATGTGTAACATGGCACTACATTACGCAGAATAGACAAGGCACTATGTATTTCATAAGAACATAGCCACTAATATACAGACAGAGTGCAATGTAAAAAAACAAACCTTTAGGGTAGCAACATTGAGGACTTTGAAACCATACTTTTATTTCAAAACTCAAGTATGTGATACTATACAGTACAATACCAGCACACTTGTGCAAAATCTTACAATATTACAAATTTAAATATGATACACAAAAATAGTGCCCTTTTAAAATTCCTTTTACTAGAAACATCTGTGCTGTGCAGGAAAAACAATAAACGTGTCTTGTTAAAGCAGAAAAATAAATATTGCACCTCAAGAAAACTATTTCAGTGTTAAAAGCATAAATAATAGATCTATTTCTTGTTATCTGATGTGACATTTGAACACAGAAGAGGTTGGGGTTTTTTCCAGATAAAGCAAACTAGTATCCAACAGATAAAATTACATTTAGAATAGTTTTTGAGCTCAATCTAGTTTCCTATTAAAAAAAGGTGTCTTCATTAACTAACTGAAAAATATAAGCAAAAACATTTAATGTGCTGTTAGTCACTGTGGTTCATTATTTTTAGTGGACAGTTTGCTCAAAGTAGTTATAAAAAGAACAACTTTTTTTTTTTTTTTTTAGTGAACGTCATCTTTTCATCCCCATTAAAATCTCTTGCCTCTTTCAGTCCACTCCCCACAACAATTTAGAACCTTGTGGCTAAATTAAACTTGCCTTAGACATGCAAGTAGTTCAGTTCAAATAAGTGCAACTACTTATGGAAATTCACCCTTGTGCACTAAGTCCACAAAAAGCCAATGTGCTGAATTTCAAGAGGATGGAGACCTCATTTACCCACTGACCAAAAAAACCACTTTGTACATGCTTAACATTAAGCAGTTCAAGAGTCCTACTGATATCAATAACTTTCTACATGTATTTAAAATAAGGTGTTGGACCCACATTAGTGGAGATGTAAATAAAAGCAAATTAATTGGATTATGGGCGTTGTTAATTATTTTCCCTCAGTGCAGCCCAACATTTCCACAATCATATATTTAATTTTGTGCCATAATTTTTGGCATAGAGGATTCTGAATCTGAAGGACTATTTACCTTCAATTTTTATTGCCTTATTAAGTTAGAAACACTATTCCTAAAGAATATTAAGTTAAAGAAGCTGATTTTAATAAAGAACTATTCAAAGAGCAACTGACAAGTTTCTTCAAATACTGAAAGTACGTGAAATGTCACAGTAGTTCTTCATAGTCAGATATTCTAACTGAACCAAACAGATACCAAGTAATTTGCAAGAAACCTTCTTCTGTCTTATTCTTTACCAATTACGATTTTAGACCAAATTACACTTTCCCGTTATCCTTTTTGAACTTTCTTAAGCACACGATTCCTCAATAAATACTTTAAAACAAAAATCAAACCTCCCAACTACTTACAGACTCCCTGCCCTCAAAAAAAGTGGTAGTGGTTGGCTTAATTGCTTAATTTTATTTTTATTTTCTTTCTCCATATAAATGTCTCTTAAGAAACATGTGGCTAAAGATGTAGCAAAATTCACCAGCAGGGTATTTGTTACTAGTGCCGGATACGTGAATTAAATTTCTGACTTAGAAACCTGTTTTCTTTGATAGTTAGCCTGAGGTTCAGTGTTTACATCAAAAGAAAACAAGACAATACTACCTGCATCTAAACTGAAATTACAGTACTTCATAACATATTTATCCTTCAGTTGGTAAACAGACCTGTTATTCAGTCAGAAAATACCAGAAGAATGCAAGACAAGTGCAATCGAGTGTCTCACTGACTTCGATATTGTGGTTACATTCAAGCCTATAGCTACAGAAAGACAAACATAGTTCATCTTTAATCAGAAGTGATGTTCAGCAATATGGTATACCTTAAGTGACATGCATTTTGCTCTCACAGCCCTAGGTGGTGTCATTTTTCATAGATAATGGCTTCACCATTTTGAAATTGCTTGTCTAAAAATTTTGGGCTTTCACATTCTTGTGTAAGAACTCACAACTCCCAAATAGGCAGAACTGTTCAAAAAATCTGGGCCAAAGAT